CTGCTGCCTGGGGACGCTGGAGTGGATTACAGTATGAGACTGCTGGGGATGCTAGTCTCCTTATCTATCTCTCTATCTCCGTCTCTCACTGTCATGGAAGAACTAAATAAACTTTAAAATAAGGACAACAATAAATGTAGCCAAATTTATACAATCTAAGGCTAGGGACCTAGTGGCACAGTGGTTAAGGTGCTGGATTCCAATATGGCTGATTCCTTATGAGTTCAGACCTGGTGGCTTGAAAACAGCAACATATAAATAGATAGAAAAATAAATAAGTAGATAAATAAATAAATAAATGTTAAAAAAAGGAGGGGCCAACAGGTGGCATGATGGTTAAGGGCACTGGATTCCAACATGGGTGATCATGGTTCAAGTCCCGAACCTGGTGGCTTGCTGTCTCACTTTCCCTTTATCTCTCTCTCTCTCTCCCCCTCTCTGGTCAAATTAAATATGAATAAATAAATAAATAAATTTAAATAAAAATAATTCTTTAATAAAAATGGAAAGAAAGGAAATCTAAGGTTGACATAACTAAGTTTCTACTTTTTTAATTTTTTTTTCCTAAAGCAAAGCAGAACACTGAAATCTCAGTGAGGTCAGGCCATGAGGTAAACAAAGATATGCCTTAGGGGTGGGCTGAGGTGGACACTTTGATCCAGCACACAGGCTACTGAGCGTGGAACAGCTTCAGCCAGTGTTCGGGAGGCATGGCCTGCAAATGTCCCTGGGCGAACAGTGGTGCGGTGGACTGTGCTGGATAAAATTTCTTACAGAAGGCCAGCACGTAATTGGTAGAAACTCTCTGGCTAAGAATAAAGAAGTAACATAAGGTAAAGAATAACATTAAGACTTAATAAGAACAATCTTTCTTAGTCTTTTTGATAACCAGGTGAAAGCTCTCTCTAGAAAAATACCTAAAAGCATTCACACAATTGTACGCAGTTGCAGGAACATCGCAGCTGCCCTGAAGTACAACTATAAGACTCCTCTGGCATACGTGCCCCAAATTAGGGATCCTTTAATGGACTCAAAATACTAAATCACCCAAGCATTTCATTCCTTATACTGATAGTGTTTCAAAACAAGGTAACTTACAATAAAAATAAAAGCAGGTATGCATTATAATAAGCATTATTGCAAGAGCATATAAGGGATGGGAAATAACTAAATACACACCCAAATAACACATAACCATGTCCTATCTATTAAATGAGACAGTAAATATCAAGAGACATGTATTAACAAGGAGTTTTACATCACAGTATAAAGTACAAAACCAAAGAGTTTGTAAGGAAAACATTTCCAAACAGTGGAAATAATCATATCACGAACATGGATTAGATTGTCTTTAAGAAATATGAAATTTGACCCAGCCAAGATGGCACAGTGGTAGCTCAACACTCATCAATGTGTGGAAGATTGGGGTTCAGTTTTGAGTTGACCTGTATACAAGGGGTACACACATGGATGTCATGATCCTGCCCAACTGAGAGACCTGGAGATTGACTGAGGGATTGTAAAATGAGACCTTACTGAGGGTGCTTGTTTTTCTGTAAATAAATAGATTTCTTTAAAAAAAAATGTTAGCAAAGAAGCTAAGCAATGTTATTTATTTATTCTTAAGTTTTCACTTTTATTGACTTTCATTTCTTATACTCGATTTCAAAAAAATAACCTCGTCAAGAACAGTGACCCAGGAAACAAAACTCATCTATCATTTCCATAAGCTTAGTCCAAGGCATTCTTCCTGAGTCTGTCACTGAGCATAACACACCAGTGAGCTGAGGAATGGCTGGGTGACAGGGCAGTCTTCAGGGGTCCTCACTATGTTTGAGGTGATTCAGAGTTTCAGTGAATTCAATTAAGCCACACAAATACAAGTTCACTACTAAAAAAAATGTAACCACATTTATGAAAAATGAATGTTTTAATTTTAGATGTCATAAAAATATAAGTGTGGAACCAAAGCATAAAGATCAACAAGATGAGACATAAAACATAAAAATATTCAATTAATTCTGATACCTTCTTTTTCATGGTATAATTATTTAAATGGTAAGTATACTATTGAAATATCTGTCTCAGGAAGATTTGTTTAGGACAGAATCACCATTGTGACTCAGCACATTAAAGCTCACGTGAATTCATTCCACTCTGTGCTATTCTAAGTAGGACACTCGAGACATACAGAATAGAATCAAATAATTTCATTTCAACAGACTTCAAATTCTGGGGAGCCATTGAACACCTCCTCTAATTTGAGTTAGATGTTTTATGATAAAAAAATACATAACCACTTTTTCATGACAGCAGCTTGAAGGATCACAATGAACAATTCTGGAGCAAGCTTTAATAAAAGATAATTAATTACTCGTGGACTGTAATATATGTTATTGGTCTGATGAGTTCTAATTTGGTTCAATGCTTCTTTCCAATACAGTGGTAAATAAGTGAACCTCTGATCCCAAGAAAAATTATATTCTGAGAGATTTATAATTATAAAACAAGAAAGCGTGTTCTATAGGAAACTTTAGCTGACCTTAGGCTTTGACATTTTATTTGCTTAGTTCCAGAAATGTACTGAGGACTCTTGGGAAAATCTCTTAAGCATAATTATCCCAGTGTTGTCATCTACAAAATAGAGATTATAATATCTCATTGATTTCATATGAGGATTAAATTGAAAATTTTTGGAAAGAGTCAAATAATACCTGGCATATAATAGACTTCCGATAAAAAAAGGTTATGCATAGTAAGAATTAACAGTAATATTAAGCAAACTAGCAATATAGCAGGTGGCACATGATTTTCATGGTTCCAATATTTTCATATATCAGCTACCACTGTTAAAATAAGCAGAAATGTCACAGTCTTCACAAACATAGTTCAAATTTTAGTTTTTATGGTATATCAACTGTGAGTAATAGGATAAAAGACAAACTTTGATGTTACATTTTGGTCCACAAATCACAAATAACAGATACACCTCATAATTAGTGGCCAGTTACACCACTTTTCTCAGTCTCTCGGTGACTGGTCACCGCACATTCATCATTCAGTTCCTGCATAGACAGCAGAGCATTTTACCACACTGTCTCTTTGTCTCCTAGTAATAAACCTACATAGCATTATAGCATCATGTAAAAATAAATAACCAAAGGACGAGTCTGGTCAACAAAACTGAAAGTGAATCAAACAAACAAACAAAAATGACCAAAAGTAAATTATTCATCAGGGTAAATGGAGTTACACCTAATCTTGGAAATGTTGACATTGCTGTCATTCAGGAGACTCCAGATACGACGCTATTGGGAACTTAATGAAGGCATCATCAACATCAATGCAAAAAGCAGCTGTGAAAAACAAAAACAAAAACAAACAAAAAGCAAATGAAGATGCCCCTGAGGAAAAGACCCTGCAAAACTAAGCAAAACAAAATCTCACATTAAAGGAATTCGTGAAGCTATGTCTTGATGTTAAATGAACAAAGAAAAAACTGTCAGAAGTTGATTCAAAGGACAATGACAATATGCAATAATATTGAAGAAATGCTCACTGTGTATCCTAAGTTCTTCAACAAGAAGAAAAAGGCAAATGTTCTTCAAAACACTCTTTTTTAAGTGTTTTACATACACTCACTGATGTTTCTAAAATACTGTGGTGTATTAAATATTACTTTCACTATTTTTTTTCATATCCCTATGACTTTGCCACAGATGCAGATGGTTTCTTTTCTTTTTCTTTTTTTTTTTGGAGAGGTTTTTACTATAGGGCGTGTGCACTCGCCAGACAGACAGAGAGAGACAGAGAGACAGAAAGCGAGAAATCACCCCCCAGGGGGGATGGTCACGCCTCAATCCCTTCTCCTCCATTCTCCTCTCAGGATCCTGGGCACGCACGCACACACGCCTGGCGTGAGTTTTAAGCCACCAGGTCTGCAACGTGAACCACGGTCGACTACGTGGGAGTCCAGCGACATAGCCATTACACTAACTGCTGGTTCCCAGATGGTTTCTTTTTTAAATTTTTGTCACAGAGTACAGTGCTTGCCAAAGAGAGACAGAGAGAGACAGAGAACGTGTGAAAGCACACACACACACACACACACACACAGCATGTTTCTCCAGCCAGCAGGTCCAGGACTCAAATGCACACTTGGCCATGTGGGAGGCCGTTGGTCCACTAAGAGAGTTTTAATGTTGTTCCAGAACAATCTTTCAAAGGCAAGGAACAACCATAACTGCTCCCATTGATGACTGAGATTATTTTTCATGGTTTCAGCGGGCACAGTCATTTCTGTGGTTGTGAACTTGCATGCAAACATAAGACTGACTATCCTCTTTGATGAAAGACAATGGTATGTCTACCTCTTCTGCATCTTTCACCTAAATTCCCGTAGTATGGAGAAACTTGCTTTGTCATTTGGGGGTGTCCACTTCCCTTTAAACTGTATCTGGATAAACTGAGGAAGAAGGTAGACAGCAGAAGGTATAAGGTCAAAAAATCAAGGGTTGCTAAAAACCTCTTTTGGAAAAAAGTAGTAAAGCATGTGTCCCAAGCTTTCCTCTCTCCCACTCACCTAAATTACACAGTCCCTAGTTACTAAAAACCATGTAAATTTTGAAAATAGTAGGCACATTATAACGTGCAGAATTATTCTTTAAAAATTAGAAAAAAATCTTATGAAAAATTAATTATTATATCTAAATAAATCTGCCTGTGCAATATTATTCTTTTCAATGTACTTTATAATACCTCATCCAGGCTAGTTTTAAATGTTCCTAGGGATTGTATTAAAAAAACTTGGTGTACAATAATCCAATTCTCTAAGCTTGCTAGTCACAATGGGCTGTAATAAAGGTGGTGTGGCAGCCAGAATAATATTTCCTTTATTTTTAATCAATTTAAGTTAATCGTATAGTGGTATTTTCTTTAGTGTGGATATTTTAATCATTTTATTGATTGGTATTACATCTGATGTGGAAAATTCAGAGAATAATGAATCTATTTTCTGGTCCTAAATGGCAAGTAGCTAGATATGTAATTTTTATGAATTACATGCATACTAAATTACAGACAGGTAAAAGCTGTGTTGAACATTCACAGAATAAGTGGACAAATTAAAAGCTACCTAAGAATATGAAAGAAACACTGCTGTTTTAAATCATTACATTGTGGAATAGTTTCATTCCAAGAGATGGAGTGAACTCTAAGGCAAGAAAACCTTGAGGAAATATATAGATCAACATCCTTCATTTCAGCTCTCAGTTTTCTTTGAGTTGTTTAAGGACAGAAGTATTCTTACAAACAACTCAATTTCCGTTCCAGGGGTGAAACTTTTCTGAGATTTAGTTTCAGAAATTACAAATCAGAGAGGACAATAGATATTTTAGAGCTTATTGTACCAGGTAAGGGATGAAATGTAGTCGAATCTTATGACACAACATCTGGAAAGATGTAATGAGACTGGCTTTGGAATTAGTTAATTTAAATCCGTGTTGGGCAACTTAGCTATTAGATATTGATCCATGTTTTGTAATGGTTACTAGCAGTGCAGTATCTTATGGTTATCCTAGCTAGCTGGCACAAAATATTTAACATCTTTGTGACTGCTTAATGTAAGATACAAATAATAAAAATGCTTAATGCAGAAAATTTTAGGTACTAGTTCTCATTTAATTCAATGAGATAATATATGTAAAATTTTAAAGCAATGTTTGGCATAAAATAAGATCATTCATTCATAGAAATAACATGTTGAGCATCTTTTTAAATAAGGAATTCTTGTAAGTGCTGGAAATAAAGCAGTGAACAACAAAAAATACCACTC